GATGATGATGATGGCGTTGATGGCGTTGATGTTGGTGATCTGACCATGGTGATGATGATGATGGTGTTGATGATGATGCTGATGATGGCGTTGATTGTCTTGACGACGATGATTTGACGATGATGATGATGGCGTTGATGGCGTTGATGTGGGTGATTTGACCATGGTGATGATGATGGTGTTGATGATGATGCTGATGATGGCGGTGATTGTCTTGACGACGATGATTTGACGATGATGATGGTGGCGTTATAGGCCTTCATCTTTGGGTATTCTTGTAAAATGCGCAGATGATGATGTGTAGATGATTGCAATCTGATATGGCGTGGATTGTGCTGCGACGACGATGATTTGAACGGACGATGATGATGGCTGTTGATGCGTTGATGTTGGTGATTTGACCATGGTGATGATGATGATGGTGTTGATGATGATGCTGATGATGGCGTTGATTGTCTTGACGACGATGATTTGACGATGATGGCTGGATGATGGCGTTGTTGATGATGATGACGATGATGATGATGATGGCGTTGATGAAGAGGATGACGAGGGTGATAACGTTGATGATGATGGCGTTGATGGTGTTGATGGCGATGATTTGACCATGATGTTGTTGATGATGATGATGATGGCGTTGATGATGATGATGTTGATGATGATGGTGGCGATGATTGACGATGATGATGATGATGGCGTTGATGGCGTTGATTTCACAATGATGATGATGAGGATGATGATGACGACGTTGATGGTGTTGATGGCGATGATTTGACAATGATGGTGATGCTGATGATGGTGTTGATGGAGTTGAACTGACAATGATGATGATGATGGCGTTGATGATGATGATGATGATGGTGGCGATGATTTGACGAAGATGATGATGATGATGATGGGGTTGATGGCGTTGATGTTGGTGATTTGACCATGGTGATGATGATGATGGTGTTGATGATGATGCTGATGATGGCGTTGATTGTGTTGATGTCGATGATTTGACGATGATGGCTGGATGATGGCGTTGATGATGATGATGACGATGATGATGATGATGGCGTTGATGAAGAGGATGACGAGGATGATAACGGTGATGATGATGGCGTTGATGGTGTTGATGGCGATGATTTGACAATGATGGTGATGCGGATGATGGCGCTGATGGAGTTGAATTGACAATGATGATGATGATGGCGTTGATGATGATGGTGATGATGGTGGCGATGGCTTGACGAAGATGATGATGATGATGGCGTTGATGGCGTTGATGTTGGTGATTTGACCATGGTGATGATGATGATGGTGTTGATGATGATGCTGATGATGGCGTTGATTGTGTTGATGTCGATGATTTGATGATGATGGCTGGATGATGATGGCGTTGATGATGATGATGATGGTGTTGATGATGATGGCGCTGATGGTGTTGATGGCGATGATTGACGATGATGATGATGATGGCGTTGATGGCGTTGATGTTGGTGATTTGGCCATGATGATGATGGCGTTGATGACGAGGATGGTGGTGTTAGTTGTGATAACGGTCATGATGATGGCGTTGATGGCGTCGATGGCGATGATTTGGCGATGATTTGGCGATGCTCATATGATGATGATGATGATGATGATGATGGCGTTGGGGACAATGATGATGGTGTCACTGGTGATGATGCTTCTGATGATGATGATGGCGTTGATGATGATGATGGCGTTGATGGCGTTGATGGCGATGACTTGACGATGATGATGATGATGGCTTCATGATGATGGCGTTGATGATGATGATGATGGCGTTGATAGTGATGTGGATGATGACGAAGATGTCGATGATGGCGATGCTTTGACGATGATGTTGCTGATGATGGCGTTGATGGCGAGGGTCTGACCGTGATGGTGATGATGATGATGGTGATGATCACGGTGGTGGTGATGTTGATGATGATGAGGCAGATCATGATGACGCTCGTGATGGAGACAGTGATGATGATATCGGTCATGATTATTGGCATCGCCAACGGCGATGCTGCTGGTGATGACAAGGATGACGATGATTGACGGCCAGGGATTAGGGTGATGACTCAGACGAGGGTGACAATGAAGCAGCTGTGCGTTTGCTGCTGCTTCTGATGTTTTGATGATCGCGTCAGTTCTTCTTATGATGATTATTCATGCCTATGTTTAGATGGCTACAAGTTTAGGGGCTTCTTAGCAAAAAACCCAGATGCCGTCAATAGGTGATACAAAGCAATCAAAGCCGATCACACCACTGACTTATATACATGTTCACAAGTATTGTAGTAATTGTCTTACTCAGCAAACAGCGATGGTGAGTTTGTAAATATACAGTTTGGATTAACTGATGATGTAGTGACAGCAGAACTTATCCTAGCCTATCCAAACACAACATGACAAGATTCTTGTAAGACAGACCAGGGGGATGAATAGCTTACGAGAGACGAGCAACTTAAGACATGAGGAAGAAGAAACATATTAAATCATATGTAGAGACTTGTTAAGACTAATCATTGTATGTGCAATAGAACCATTGAAAATACATAGTGGATGAGTTAGCCATTCTTCACAAGGTAGTAGCGTTGAAGGAGAAAGCATTTTTGTTTGGAGTTATTGGCGGGTTGAGAGCAAAAAGCTATGGACCGCAATCGCGCGATCAACCGATGTAAAGAACGTTTGTTTTTAGAAACACGCAAGCAATGCACGATAGAGAAGCAAGTAGGGAAATTGATGCAACGCCCGGACCCTGAGGGTTGCCAGCAAGCCAATGTATTCGGCCGCTGCTGCTGCAGGAGGCCAACAGAAACCCCAAAACTTGTTGGCGGGGTTAGCGCAAACCCTAAAACAAATGAACCGCAAAAGTGTTGGTGGGGCCAACCGAAACCCCAAAAGTGTGGGTGGGGCCCACATAAACCCTAAAAGGTGTCGGTGGCGGCAACAACCCTAAAACGTGTTTGTGGGGCCAGCGTATGGGGGGTGGGTGAACCTCAGGGTTGGCGCCAAATAGCGATTCTGACGCAGATGGGTTGTTAGAATGACTCAATCATCACTGTGTTGAATGTGGATGCGAATTTGAATTTAAATCGGAAGGCGATATTACATGAGTTTCACGGCCAGGGCTGAGCCTACGGTAGTCCCAGAACATGCGCGTAATGACCCATCGAAAAGCCGCACCCTACGCAGTTGAGCGCATCGGCGAAGGCTTGCCGGTGTTCTAAGGGCAGACCATTCGATATGAGGTGCGGGTACAAAAAAGCTGGCAGGCGCAAGGGAGCCTGAGCGTGTCAGACACCCCATCTCCGGGCAAACACCAAGCGAGGTGACAGGTGAAGCTCTCCGCAACCTAAAGTGAGCCAAAACCTGAAATGTAAGGCGAGGGTTTGAGGGGCAAGCCAAACCCGAAAACCAATTCCCGACTGGGGGGTTGGTCAAGTTAAACCCCAAAACTAAACCCCAAACGGGTGGTTTGAGGGCAAGCTAAACCCCTAAATCAAGCCCTAAACCCTAAACGGGGAGTTTGAGGGCAAGTTAAACCCCCAAACCTGAACCCTAAATGGGGCAAGCTAGGCCCCAAAAAACCGTAAAACCAAACCCTAAACCATAAAAAACTGAATCGTAAATGGAGCAAGGTAAGCCTAAGGCTGGAAACAGACAAGAAAGTGCCATGAAGTGGTGCGGGTACTTTCACTGCGCAGCGATCTTTGTAACACAGAAGATAACTACGTGCCCCGTTGTAAGCGGTGTACTTTTTCATTTAGTAGCTTGCTCTAAAGGTGATGAATGTATAACACTAGTGACAAACAGGACGCAATGAGACAGGTGTGTTATGATAGAACGATTTTGGTAGTTTAGCGTCTACTTTGAAGGATGCTAGGCAATTGGATAAGTCTGTTTCAATGAATGACATTAAAACCGTTCTTCTCAAAACATGTTGAACCTGATTGGCTTATTTTCTACACACATGGTTGTAATGCCTATGAACTCCAAAAGCGAAGGAGCTGTAGCAAGTGATTTAGTTGAAGTACGTCGTAAAATGCGAAAGCGCAAGTACAGTTGCATGTCTAATTGTACCTATTCGGTTCGCTAACCAAACAAACCAACATAAATCCAAGTGGGTCGCTGCTTGGCATTGCTATTCATACCACTCATACCAACCTCACTATTTGCCGGAAGGGACCAACTTTGGCAGATGATGCTTGACAAGAGAATCAGGAGAACCTTGATCTTGGCAGCAAAGGTCAACAGTGCGGAAACGGCCCGGAGCACACATGCGATTGTCTGATGGCTTCTTTCCGGAACCGCCCTATGTGAAAGAAGGGAAGTTGGAAGGAGCAGTCGGTTTCAAGGCAAGCTTCATTCAACGCTCGAGCGTCCCCAATTCTAAACCAACCCTAAGCCAACCCTAAACCACAACCCCAAACCCCAACCACCCCAAACCAACCCTAAACCAACCCCAAACCAACCCTAAACCAACCCTAAACCAACCCCAAACCAACCAAACCAACCCTAAACCAACCCCAAACCCCTAAACCAACCCAAACCAACCCCAAACCAACCCGACCAACCCCAACCAACCCTAAACCAACCCCAAACCAACCCCAAACCACCCCAAACCAACCCTAAACCAACCCCAAACCAACCCCAAACCAACCCGACACCAACCCTAAACCAACCCCAAAACAACCCCAAACCAACCGCGAACCAACCCCAAACCAACCCCAAACCAACCCCAAACCAACCCTAAACCAACCCCAAACCACCCTAAGCCAACCCTGAACTGACCCAACCCCAAAGCAACCCGAAACCAACCCTAAACCAACCCTAAACCAACCCCAAACCAACCCGCAAACCAACCCCAAACCAACCCCAAACCAACCCGCAAACCAACCCCAAACCAACCCCAAACCAACCCCAAACCACGGTAAACCAACCCTAAACCAACCCCAAACCAACCCCAAACCAACCCTAAACCAACCCCAAACCAACCAACCCCAAGCCACCCCAAACCAACCCCAAACCAACCCTAAACCAACCCCAAACCAACCCCAAACCAACCCCAAACCAACCCGCAAACCAACCCCAAACCAACCCTAAACCAACCCCAAACCAACCCGAAACCAACCCTAAACCAACCCCAAGCCACCCCAAACCAACCCGAAACCAACCCTAAACCAACCCCAAACCACCCCAAACCAACCCTAAACCAACCCCAAACCAACCCTAAACCAACCCTAAACCAACCCCGAACCACCCCAAACCAACCCCAAACCAACCCCAAACCAACCCCAAACCAACCCCAAACCAACCCGCAAACCAACCCCAAACCAACCCTAAACCAACCCCAAACCAACCCGAAACCAACCCTGAACCAACCCCAAACCAACCCCAAACCAACCCTAAACCAACCCTAAACCAACCCCAAGCCACCCCAAACCAACCCGAAACCAACCCTAAACCAACCCCAAACCACCCCAAACCAACCCTAAACCAACCCCAAACCAACCCTAAACCAACCCCAAACCAACCCCGAACCACCCCAAACCAACCCCAAACCAACCCTAAACCAACCCTACGTTTTTGAACAGGTGAACCCTCTGCGGACTTTGCTGCGTTTTGGAAACAAACTTCTTCGAAAAACTGAGCCCTCTGCAGCTTCTCTGGGACCACCGCGCCGAACCTAGGAAAAACAGAACCCTTCCGCCCGTTTCGCCATTCCACCAGGATTCCTTGTAAAGTTAGCCCCATCCAAAAGGTGATGTCTGACCCAACGTGGCGTTGACAGCAGGGCAAGTTGGACCTACGCCCTGGTCCACCAAGGTGCTGGACGACTGGGCCTGCACGGGCCCAGCCCGCCGGGCTGGATCATGGGGTGCGGTGTCCCAGCCAAGCGCCTGGGTCCTATTCGAGGTATTTGTTTTTGCGTCGTAATGGGGAGGCAAAGGGAACCCATTGCGATTAATTTTGCGGAGGACACTCTCTTCGGAGACTAACCTTTCACCTTTGCACCAGCAGCTGCCCACAGCTTTTTGTTTTGGCGTAGGTATCCCTTTCGTCTATGACAGGGGTTGAAGCCGGAGTCAAAGCAGTGCTTTTGGGGGCTGGCTACTTTCTTTCCATGGTTTTGTTGGTGTGGTGGATTGTCAATTTGGACACCTTGCTTGCTGGCAAGCCATTTTTTTGGCATCTTTGATCGCCGGCCTCCTGGCTTGCTGGCTTCCAGAGATGCAGGCGGGCGGCCATGATGCCATGACCCCCGCATTTTTAACCAACGCGCTTTTCTGAGCTTATGAAACATCTTTTGTGCCCAGCCTGCCCCTTCCATGTGTCCAGCAAGTCGCACCTTAATCGCCGTCTGTCAATGACCTTCATTATTATCCTATTGATTCGAGTGAAGTCTTGAGAAACTCCTAGGCTTTGGCTTACCAATAACGCGGCCTCCTTCAGCGACTCGGCAAGAGGGAGGGATGGCACGATCCCTTTCGCGTCGGAGGATTTCTGGTGGAGACCCCCAAGAAGCCTATTTGGGCTAAACCTTGGAGGTTGTTTGTCTGTTGGAGCTCTTGGGAACCGAAATATGCCAGCAAGCCTCAGGGTGGGGGTCAAGAAATCCTGCTCTGACCGGCGTTGTAATCACCGACACTCAGGCAGCCGGAGCTGATACGGGACCTTTCTAATCTGCTTTTTCCAAATTGTGCTGTGTTTCAGTATCACCGTACGCCATTTTTGTTCTTTGATCCTGGACTTGCTCTATATCATTGACGCGCTTTGCAGATTTGCAACGTGCGCCGCATTTGTTCACCTCGCCGGAGTTCCAATCATTGGCTTGTAGGCCTACCTCTGTGACATGAGCTCTGTGGCAACAGTTGGCTAGTTGAAGGGTTGAAGGCTGAGTCCGTACGCTCATCAGTGGCACACTTTCAAAGTTGAAGGTTCGTCGTGTGCCACACTTTCTACTTTGGGGCACTTGTGTGGCACGGCCCACTAATCATGATTAGCAAGGAGCCTGCTAATTAGTTTGTTAGTGCAATACTTTGTTAGTCCTAGCGAGCTGCTGTGGATGCAAAGGGTTTGTCCAATTTTGTAGGCAAGTTGCCTAGCCATGTCAGACTACCTATCAGCCGCTGCAGGCTTCATGGGCCTCGCAATCTTCATGGCCTTGCACGCATCCTTCCGGGCTCAGGCGTGGGCCTGACTCACTTTTGCAGTATGTTTTGGGCAGGAGGTTTGCAATCTAGGTCCGCTAGTGAACACGTTGTCGGAACTCCCGGTTGTGCTGAGCTGTCGGGATCGCGGTTGGGTTGGGGGCTTTGATCACTTTGCTCGCTGGCTTCTGCTTGCCTTGCGCTTGCTGTGCTTGGTTAGCGCTGGCGCCCTTGTGCTTTTTGGCAGCCTTCTGGTTAGATTGATTGCGCTCTTTTACCTTCAGAAAGGGCACATGTACGGGCTCTGGGTTTTCCTATTTTAACGGAATGCGTATTATGTATTATGAAGATGTGCTGTTTGGCATTCCTTTCCATGAAGGATTCTCGCAGAAACCTTTGGTCAAACCCTTTCCTCAGAGCTCTAAACCTAAACCCTTAACCTAAACCCTAAACCAAAGCTCTGGGATGTGCAAGGGTGGATTAGGGGGTGACGGCAAGGTAGCAGCAGCCCTAAGCCTACCCTAAGCCGACCCTAAACCCATCCCAAGCCAACCCTAAATCGCCCTAATCCTGCTTGAGGAGCCGTAAATCCAACTTACACCCACCCTAAACCACAACCCTACACCGGCGCTGCTGGCGCGCTAAAGGTTGCTTCTTTGCGTTTTGCATTCGAGATGACTTCTGGTGTCAGCGTTGGCCGAAGGCTGCTTCCGTCAACCTACTGACGCGCAAGATCAGGGTGCCGGTGCCCTCCATGCGCCAACTGGACAAGGCACGCGTGATCTCAAGCCTGCATGTCTCACATTGGTTTGCACGAGGCTGGGTGAAAGTTGCGCTCTTATGGCCAACCCATTTTTGAGAAGGTAGGGTGAGCTGAGCAAGCTGGGAGCTATCCGTGTTGGAGACATCAAATCTCATTTGCAGAGCAGCAGCAACTTGTTTGTCCATGTGGCAAGACTGTCATTTTGCTGGGGTGGCATAGGTTGAGCAGCTTTCCCTGCTCCAGGCACGTCGCTTCAGCTCGGAGTTTGAACAACAGCAATGGAGCTTGCGCCTGAGTCGTGACACTGGGAGCTGGCGGTTGAGCCATAAGGGAAAGCACTGCTCTCTTGAGAGAGGCTTTGGCATGGCTGAGGGGACTCAAGGGGCTCCGCGCTTGACTTGGTGCTGATTTGGCTGGAACCTTTGACATTTGCCCTTCACGTGCCTAGCAAGTCTCAGCACTCTCAACCTCTGGCTTCCCCTTTTGTCAGCTTCATCCAAGCATTGGCTGAAAGGGACCTTTGCTCACCAGCGAGGGAGGAATTTGTAAAACAGCTGTGCAAATTTGGTTTGACGTCGAATCCACCAAAACAAGGCGCCCTTTCCAATCGCAGTCTGTGGATGGGGCGTCGCTCAAACATTCCGATCCAAGATGACTTTGGAATGGGGCCCCGAGCCTGGCGCCGCGGTCTAAAGGTGACATCTTTCGCGTGCCCTACTTGACGAACCCCGGGGTGCCCAAGACGGATGAGACGTCTGGGCCCAGAAAACCGGGGCGCTTGCTATCTGACTTTTCATGTATTTGATGGTGTGCATTGGTTTCTTCTCAAAGCTTTAGGCCAGGCATTAGGCCATGATTCTGTGGGATCCCACTGTCTGTGAGCAACTCCAGGATCGATAGATCGAGAGATCGATGTGTAAAGGAAGGAAGGAAGGAAGGAAGGAAGGAAGGAAGGAAGGAAGGAAGGAAGGAAGGAAGGAAAGAAATAAAGAAATAAAGAAAGAAAGAAAGAAAGAAAGAAAGAAAGAAAGAAAGAAAGAAAGAAAGAAAGAAAGAAACAACAAGAACAAGGAAAGAACAAAAGGAAGAAAGCGAGACAGAAAGCAAGAAAGAAAGAAAGAAAGAAGGAAAGAAAGCGATAAAGAAAGAACGAAAGAAGGAAGGAAGGAAATAAGGATAGATAGGATAGATAGGATAGATAGGATAGATAGGATAGATAGGTAGATGGATGGATGGATAGATGTATATATATATGTACATAGATAGATAGATAGATAGATGCAGAGCTAGATGGATAGATAACTTGTCAAAGGATTTTTAACTGGAACTTTTCATGCTGGCACTAATTGAGCTAAGCCGTCTCTTGGAAGTGCATGCGTTGCGCGTTAACAAAGTATCAATTAAGCTGGAGAGCGCGAGCGAGAGGCAGAAAAGGTGTTTTGTGCATGAGTTCTTCTAGTTTGGTGGCTGACCACTCGAAAGTCCGCAGAGGCCTGAGTTTTCGAGGATGCTGGTAAACATTCCCCTCATTTCTTTGATGGTTGCAAAGCGGTGCAATCAGCCTGTTTCCGAGCCCGCCCCGAGCATGGTCCGAGCATGGTCTGAAACCGCTTCCGTCAGAAACTTGGTGTTTCTTGCACTTCTCAGCTTGCTCAGCCTTCAGATGGTGAACCCAATACGGAGTTTTGGGTGGTCAGCCATCAAAAGCGCATTCTTCCTTGCTTTTTCTCAGAACTTGCACACAAGCTAAGTTTCTAGGTAGTAAGTTAGCTAGCTAACCAGCTGATCATGAATTCTTGAACTGATGTGCCTATCCAACCAACAGTCTATCTAGCTGGCTAACTAGTTAGCTAGCTAAGTAGCAAGCTTAAGCTCAATCAGACATGTATGCGTTTTAAACGACAGAAAAGGCGCGGACATCAAGCATATCGTGCATTGACAAGGAACACATTCTGACCAACCCATCGTCTTCACCGGTAGCGATGGGGCCTAGGAATCAGCTACTTTGGTATTCCAGACCATCTTCGGCAGATTTGATGGGCTTGCCAGACTGTAGATTGACTGGAGGATTTCGCAGATGCCA